GCTGTGGCTGGGGTGGGTGCTGTGCAAGAACCTCAGCAATCTCACTGAGTATTATAGTATAATACTGCAAGTTAGGCTTTCTTTAATGTTTAGTAACTTGCAGCTTTTATTTTCTCATGGCAGAGCTGTTCTGTTTTTTTACAAAGGACAACAATCAACAAAAACAAATACTGATTGGATTTTATGGGCAGATATTAAAAGAATGATCATGAATGGATATACTTTTAACTGAGCTCTGAGATTGGTTCGTCAAACTTATTTAGAAAACAAAAGGAAACTTTAACATTAATAATCAAGCTGTCTGTTGTAAACATCCACTATTTACAGACCACTTCCTGGTTCCTGGAGTAGTTTGTAGAACTGTAGAATTCTTTTGAAATGGGAGAATATTAGTTCAAACTAGTTTTACTTGTGTTTTAGACGAATAAATGGCTGGCTTGTTTATAACCAGTCTGACTGTATGTGTTTCTTTTAGTTAAACTACATTTGAATATGGTGTAAATTAGGCGTATGCCAGCTATGGTTGTGAATGTGAATCAGTTCTTTCTTATCTAGTCCCTGACTAGTCCTAAGCCTGAGTCCTCTCATCACATTGTTGTTAGACTGAGATATTATAGACTAGAGCGACTAGAGAGAGAGTTTTTTTGAGGGGGTCGATGTGATGTTCCCATTCTGCACAGTGAGTCTTTGAAGACCCTGCACCCCATTATCAGGCAGACAATACTGTTGGACAGATGGCCAGGGCACGGAAAGCACACACACACTCACACACTTGCTCTGTGTGGGATTAAATACCCAAAGAAAGACATAATAACTGTTTGTACATGCACATCACATTTTACAACTTTTTGAAGTAGAGGAAAGTAGTAGCTTAATAGTGCAGACTGAAAGACCACAACATGACAGTAAAACGAGATGGGAGAGTTAAGACATTCCTCCAGATTAAATGAAGAAGCCAAACCACTTCTGCTGTTAAATGTCCAGTGTGTAACATTTAGGAGGATCTGCAGAAATGGAATATAATATTCATAGGTATGTTTTCATTACTGTATATTCATCTGAATATAAGACATTTTTCGCGAGTTTTGTAGCCACTCCAACAAAATCAGTTGTTTATTTTCTAATACAATCATTTGTTACATTTGTAAGTATACAAAAAAAAGTCTGAGAATAAAGTCAGGCCCTAATCCTCTTCGTAACAATGTCAGCATTTTTGTGGTTAAATTTAGCAGTAAGATAAATACCCACAATGCTGTTTGGTTTCATTACACTACACAGGCTCAGCTGTGATTTGAACCTGTCATATAAAACCTTTCACACGCTATTTTTTACTGTATGCTGCGCTGTGATAAACACAAAGCATAGGAAATTGAGCAAGTGAGACAAACAACACAGCTGGCAGCAGAGACAAAAACTCTGCCTCAGCACTCTTTCTAATAGAAACTCTCACACACACCCTTTGGATGACATATATGCACAAACCACACTATACAATTCAATTCAAACACACACACACACACATTAATTTATTTTTATTCAGTAAAGCTGCTGTGCAAGTGCCCCATTTGCTGAAGTAATGAAGTGAATATATTCACTATTCCTTGAGAAAGTTCAACTGAATATAAGGCCTCACGGGGCTCCTTCTTTAATCTTGTGTGTTAAAATGTGTACGATTTAGTGGATTGCTTCACCCTCCCCTTCCAAGCATGAAGGAGAAACTACAGTGGCCGTGAAATGCACGAAAAACGTGAACGACCCGAGGCATTTGTAGATAAAAACGTCCCATTCTAAGATAAGAAAAGCATTATTTTTAGGTGACATACTAAGAAAAACATACCTATAAATATAATATTCCATTTCTGCCAATAGATCCTCTTAAATGATAGACAATGGAACTTAGTAGAAGATAGTAATATTTTTTGCAGAAAAATAATCTCTTGGGACCAACCCAAAGCAAGTGGCTGCCCTCCAAAGTCTAACTAGGCTAACTCAGAAGGCTAAATCCTTAGTTCAGATGATGTAAGAAACATTTGTGTTTTTAGCAGGAGTTGTGTCTTGGTGAACAACAACCACAGCCAGGCTAATCACCACGTGGCTCTAGCTTTGACCTTAACCCACAGATGTGAGAGTGGTATCATTCTCCTCATTTAACTCTTTCATAAGTGTATTGCCCTAACAATAACCTATCCTTTAAAATTGGTTTCAAAACCCAGCAGCAACACTAACCAGTCACTATACAACAAAACAGAGGCCTGTAGTGAGGAAGCTCACACATAGAATATAAAAATAATTAAAGCTGCAAGCAGCGATGAACTCCACGCAACCGGTGTGCTGCAGCCACGTCACATGCTGGTGTAACACGTGCGGACCACAACATGAAAATTTCAGATCAAAATAAAATCGCAACGCAGTGCTTACTTCCTGTTGCCAGTAGGTGGCGCTATCACTACATCTGAATATTGTTATAAAGACGTGTTCAGGGCTGGACTCTT